TTCCGTATACTTATGAATATTTTTTATATTTAAAAATATATCTATATTTTAAGATAAACGACTATTCATTGCCCTAATTTCACGAAAGATTTTCTGTTTGCTGCATCCGCCTAACACATCCCGCAGCCCCTAAGTCGAGGTCGCCGAATCTATCACGAAGTCGAAGGTTTTATTGGTGGTTGGCATATGGACAAGGAGCTCCCAATTTACAAAGCTTTGTTATCAAAGTCCTAAGTTTAACATGTAGTTCATCTGGATGCGAACGCAATTGGAGTATTTTTGAACATGTAAGTATTTTACAATGTATGTGTTGATTTTTTATATATGTTCATAATATAGTAATGTAATAATATTTTAATTGCAGCTTCATAGCAAACGAAGAAGCAAATTGGATCATGGTCGCTTAAAGGATTTAGTTTATGTGAAATATAATAGAGTACTGATTCGGAGATTCAATCATCGTGATGTCATTGATCCTATTTCTTTGACTGAGATAGATGATGCAAATGATGGCTAACAGGAAAATTAGATGATGAGTCTGATGAAGAAAATGACTTTATTGCTGGAGATGAAGATTTAACTTGGGCAAGTGTTGCTAAAGCTACTGGTGTTTATGATAAAAGCTATAATATTCGGGAAAGATCTAAAGGGAAAGAGAAAGAATCTTCAATTAGGCATGATGTTGCTATTGAGAATGATGATGAAGAGGGTGATGAAGAGGATTATGAAGTTGGAGACAATGTTGAAGAAGATAATGAAGCTTTTTTAACATTTGCTGATGATGATGATTCTCAAGAAGAGTAGATTAAATTCTTATTTGATCTTTTAAAAAAAGATTGTAATATTTGAATTATGAGATATTTGGATGTTACTTAATCGAACTTATATATGTTATAGTTGTCTTTTATTATTATGATAGTTTGTCTTTGATTTTTAATAATATTTCATATTCATGCTTATTATTTTATATTTTTTATATAGCTTGCGCCATGTTCAAAATAGCGCGCGCCGCGCCGTGCGCTATGCGCCATGGCTCCAAATGGATCTTTGCGCCATGGTGCGCCATTCGCCGTTAACAGGTATGAACCCAAGTTGGGAGAATGAATTCCCCTCTTTGAACTCCAAGTGTTTAAAGAGGTTTTAGAAGCTTGCAACCCAAAGTTGCATCTTCTCTTCTCCCCTTTCTACAACTCAAAAGTTGTATGAAAGTTTGAGTGAATCAATCTTATTCCAAATCACCTATTTGTTGAATCAAAATCAACAAGTAGTTCAATCCAAAATCATTTATTTGTTGAACCAAATTCAACAAATAATCCCATAGCAAGCAAAGGAGAAACTCCTATCTTTCTTCCATTATCCAAACCAAATTTGGTGAATGAGTTCCTCTCTTTGGACACCTAAAAGTCCAAAGAATCCTTGATGTGTAGGCCAAATCTACACATCATCTTCTCATGTTTGTTTAATCCAAACTTAGCAAACAAAATACCCATCATTGAACATAAGAGTTCAATGATAATCTCTCTTGGTTTGTAACCCCAAAGTTACAAATCTTTCTCACTTATTGAGCTAAATTCAATAAGTGACTCACCTTAGTTTGTTTAATCCAAATTTAGCAAATGAAATCTAACTCATTGAATACAAAAAATTCAAGGAGACATTCTCTTGATTCGTAGCCTCAAAGCTACTAATCTCCCTCATTTCTATAGGTTCTAAAGGCCTTAAAAAATGTCATAACTTAGCCCAAAAGCTATAGGTTCTCTCTCCTTCAACTCCAAAGTTGTAAGAGATCTCTCCTCTCTTTAGCTCCAAAAGCTAGAGAGAGTTCTCTTACATTTAGCCTAAAAGCTAAATGTTAGATTCTTATCTTTCTCCTCTTAGCTCCAAAAGCTAAGGAGAATTCCTCAACATGTAGCCTAAAAGCTACATGTTGGACACCTTAGACTAAAAATCTAAGTAATCTCTCCCACTCAACTCAAATTGAGTGACTTCTCTTATGACATTTAAAGTGCTAAACCCATAGATGTCCCTTAGGAGTTGTTCTTTTCTGTCGAACCATCCTACTCTTTTGGATGGATTTCATCAAGTCCTAAGTGAAACCCCTTAGACATGTCTATCTTACCCTATTAGATAGACAATTCTCTTATCCAAACATTAAGAGAACACTAAAACACCTAAAAATCACTTAGGTTCCTTTTGATACAATGATCAATCATCTCCCCCAAAAGGCGGGATGCCTACATCATTGTATTTTAGGATTCATAAGTAAGAGGCTTGCCTAAAAGCAAGTAGTGATTACTTTATGGGTTCTTCATAACCCTCCTAAATATGAAACACTTAAAAATCAAATAAAATCTTTAAGTCACAAACAACTTAAAGTGAAATCACCCTTGAATAAACATTAAATATCTTCATTCCAAAATAAAACCAAACACCCTTAGTGTGACATGCTATACAAGCCTCACACACTTAGGTGCACAGCCACTTAGGCATGCTAGGATTAGGATTTTTCTTTTATGCGCATATGTTTGATGTTGTGGTGTGATTGTCCTTGGATTGTCTGTGTTGTTGGCACTTACTCTTAAGTGGATAGTGTAGAAATATACATGTTCTTCTTGCAGATGGCCATATCTAAAAGGGCGGTGCTCATAAATAATAAATTGCTTGCATGATAGGTGCTGCTTAAAACCCCCCAAAAGATGTGGTCAATAGGGTAGAAGCAGATGCTTAGCACTCTAAGTGCTAGGCAAATTTTGGATGTAATGCTTTATTATATATAAACTGCTTTTGATTCTATTTTGCAGGTTTGAGTCTTTTACATTTCCTAAATGTATTTGATAGAAGTAGGAATTGTATTGGACTTGTGGGGGTTTGGAACAAAAGAATGAAGTGGACTAGAAGGATGTAGCTATCAAAGGTGAAGCCCAATATCCATTCAAAAGTCAAGAGCCTGAAGAACCCCCCATAAGTAGAGTCTGTAATAATTTGACTGGGTTGTATAATGGCAGGCAACTTAGCTGTCAAACCTGTTTGTAATAACTCGTACTCTAATTACATTCCCTGCACTTTATTCATAAATAAAGCATGCTTTGATTGTTTATCTGATTGTGCAATAGAAATGCATCTTTTTCCTAGGTTTTTTTCTTTGCTTTATTTGGGTATGGCTTGAACAGTTTGATGCGGTAGGCTCTTAGGACAAAAAGAAGATTTCTTCCCATTAAAATGTAATCAATCTAAAAATTAATTTAAGCTTCACGATTTTCTAACAAATAAGAAAGCTTGTGTAGCTCCCTTTAAGGAGCTAAGTTTTCTAAAAATTAAAACAATCATTCATGGCCAAAAATGTTTTGTATATAGAAAGCCCTCATTTAAGGACTAGATAATAAAAATCTTTTTTTTTTGTGAGTCAGCATTATGCATACCCACATGCATAGGCATCTGGGCCTTAAAGTCAAGCTATAAGCTCTACCTTCTAAATAAAAATCTTTCCACTCTACATTTGCATTAAGACCGGATGGCATGGCTTAAAAAAAAACGATTAAGAGGGTTTAGCTGGTAGCCCCTTCTTGGCGGGACAGTAAATCCAGAAGTCGGGCAGGCTATGCCTCTTGTGAGGTGTAGTTTGTAAGCCCCTTTGCACTCGTTAGATTTATGTTCGAGGCACGCTTATGAGTAGTCCTCACCTTAGTCTTAGGGTCCGAGGCATGGGTTGATTCTAAATCACCTTATAAGCCCTCACCTTTCGGGCAATTCCTACAACATATGTTAAAGGAATGTAAGCCCCAACATTCTAAATAAAAATATCAACTTGAATCAAAGTTAGATTGCTAAAATGTAAAGCCCAACATAGGATAGTTTGAGCACCTCTGAGTATCCCTCAGAATCAAGTGCTCCTACTTCACCTTCCCTTGGCTCTCATTCCAAAAATCTAATTTCTAAGTTGATCAACTTCTCCTTGAAATTTCTAAAGGACTAAATCCTTTAACTAAGACTTTCATGGATTCTAAAACAAAAATAAACTTTAGCCAATGCTTAAGTGACTTCCAAGACAAACAAAACCACTAGTTTAATCAAAAGTCTTCCCAAGGCAAAACTTGGGATGTAATTAACCATTGAGGCTTGCCCCTATGAGATGTCTGTACCCCGAAATAAAATAAACACCATTCGACCAAACATCGAGTGGGAGAATCTCTGTTAATAATTGTAAATTTTATAATTGAGTCCATAAGGAAATGATATTTTTACCCTTCGGGGTAATCTATCAAGTTCTTATGCCGTACTAGATGATAAAATATGCAATCCGTTTGAGGATACAAAAATTCTCCAACAGTTTCCTATAAGGGAGAGCAGCGACCAATGAGGGTGGAGTGCATGGCTGTAGCCTTAGACAGCCCACGGGAGTTCAGTGGCCTAGCACCAGCACATTGAACATAGTAGCTAGGTTGACTGGATGTGTCCTGTGATTGTAGATATGGCAACAGGATGTGGCACTGATGATGCGCTATTCCTTGAAAATGTGGAATCATCATCATTAGCCTTAGCTGAACAATTTGGGTTGGCTTTAAGATTCCATGCTGTAACTCTGTTTTTCCATATTTTGGTAGACAAATCTATTTGAAAACGTTTTTTGCGTATTTGGGTGAAACCCTGTTTCTTCTGGGACCTTTCACAACTACATGCGGTTGCATCTGCTTTCCCCTAATTTTCATGGCATGTCTTTATTACCTAATTAGTCGGCTCACTATGAATTGCTTTTATATTTTGCTTATTTTAAGACATGAAGTGAAAATTTGGCAATCCAATTTTCTTCTATTCATCTTGAGCCTTTTTTTCAGGTTTTTGTATCTTATGCTGCTAAAATTCACAGCATTTTAATGTTTTTTCGAATCTTTAGTACAATTTGTGGTTACAGCTTTGCCATCATATATAGTAGGAACGAGCATTTTTGTATTCTAGATAGCTTGCATACCAATTTGAAAAATCTACTGTTCCCATGCATGCAGGTATCGAGGAAAAAGAATGAGGATCGACTATTTTATAGTTTCAGAAAAGCTTAAGGACAAGATAATTTCATGTGATATGCATGGGCATGGAATTGAGCTAGAAGGTTGTATCATATTGATACTCATTCACGTGATTTCAAGTTACATATTTCATAGTTATTACCAGAATCTGTAATGCAAAACGCCATGACTCCGTTTGTCATCTGGCACATTTATGCATATGGTATACGTTTAACATGATCTGGGATCAAATAATGAAGGTGAATCCAAATGTAAGAAAATATCATTTCACAGAGACTGCCTCATTCATATTTTATGAGAATATGAAGAACGTTAATATAAAGTAGGTGTAATTGAGAATATATTTTTTTGGATAAGCTTCTCATCATATCATAGATGTTATCTTTTAGATTCAACTGTTTATTATGTCTTCATTGACCAATTTCTCATGTCAATGCCAAAGATGTTTGTAACAACATATTTGAAGTACCAATTGTATATACGATCAAATATATTTTAGGTTGAATTCCCTTAACTTTAGAGCCTAAATATGTGTTGGCGCCTTTACGGAGCAAATCAGATAAATATATAATGAACAATTAGAAAGAAAGCCTAAATCTAAAATCTGTATAATTAGTCGCTGAAAACTCGAACTAGTACATTAAGTATAAAATTATATGCATGTTTTACGCGTTCAATAAAAAATGCTATACTTATTGGTATTATTGACAAAAGCTGAAACAACATGAATATGCTCTCGATGATTTTTTGCGAGTCAGTATTTTCTTTATTTTTTATTTTAACTTGTTTACGCTATCAGACTTCTATTTTACTGCAGGTTTTTGTGGAAGTGATCACTGTCCTGTTTCACTCGAACTTTCACAATTAACTTGAGCATCTGCTGATTGCAAGTTTGCATTGGAAGAACTTGAATCCGAGACGATCCTTCTTAAGTATTCATAGAACAGAAAAAAATATATTTTTAAACCTATTGTCGTATATGAAATACTTTGTAGGGAAAGCTTTTCTCTTTTTGTATTAAGTATCCTTGATTTGTGTATTATTATTTTTGTCTCAATCAATGTCCTCAGCTGATTGACTGCTTTTAAAATTGTTAAGGCAAGCATTTTTTTGGTTCTGCTGTGTTTTCAGCTATGCTGTGTAGAAAACTGAATCCATTGCTACTCTCAGAATGGTGTAAAAATTATTTTTCTTTGCACAGCATCAATATTATTGATAGCTGACAACCGTGAATTTTGCGTTTGTGGTGATTATCTTCTTAATGTCGTTGCAATTTCTTTGTTCTAACTTTTTGCTTAATCTTTAGTTAAGTTTTCAACTATCATTGTTATCATTATCTTGTGTTTTTAAGGGCCTTGTGACTATTATTTAGAATGAAGTATGATGCATAACTAGCTCTTCTCACCGTTCTTAAGTTCTGTGATTGATACTTTTTCTTGTTTATAACTTTTTTCCTTCCTCCAAGGTTTATACGAATCATTTGTTAAGTCATAATCAACGATATAATAGAATAATGATCTCATTTTAATTTAGATGAATTTAAAACCATTATAATTGATTTTGATGTTGTCTGATTTTGGCTTTCCAATCTTAAACTGCTAGTGATAATAATTGAAGCATCTTCATCTCAAAATCATCTATGGCTTATGGAGAATGCAATTAATGTAGAATAGTTGGCTATTAATTGTGTAGTTGAAGAAGGAAATTTATTGCCAATTTTGACTCTTGTCTTTGACCTTGTTTGCTCTTAGAAGAAATGGCAAAACAACAAATATAGAGATTTCGCCGAAAGTGTCAGAGTATGCAGAAATTTAGCAACGCCCATTGCTAACTGCTATGATGAAATAAAAATTAGAACGCAAAGAGCTTTTATTTAGCAGTGCGTTGTAAAAAAATAAACATAACTCAAATCCTAAACGCTAAATAACTAGCAATTTTAAATGTAGTTTATCTTAATCTGTTGATTTGAGATTGATTCATAAAAAAGTTTTGAGTTCAAAATTTATTTATGTGATATCTGTGTCAATTGTCCCAAAAAAAAATTTTTTTTTCCTTAGCCATGACATGTTAAAACGTTGATTCTTTTTGTACGGGAGAAAATATGATTCAAATAAATGAAAATGAATATTCTCCATCTACGGAATAGGTGATATGTATATATATTGAAGGAAAAAAAGCATCTTGTAGCAATATATGAGATAAGGATCCTTTTTAGGAGATGACTGATTAAAGAGATCTAGTAGATAGACTTCTATGGGTTTGGTACAGCATATTGTAGTTCTTTTCTTTCATTTTTTTATGGTTAGTTCTCTTTCTGTTTTGGTATAAATTTTCCTTTATTTGAGATGATATTTATTTTTTAGGAATTATAATATAGAACCTTTCAATTTTTTTTTTTTTTTAATTTTTCAATAGCATTCAAATTCATCCGTATGGAACAGTACTGTAGTGTTATTTGTACCTTAAAAGGATTGATGGGACAGTGGGCTATGAAAGATATGAGTTCGAGCTGGTGTGGCCTTAGCTTAAGATTAGCTTGAAGACCTTCAATTCATTCTCAAGCAGAACTATGCCTATTTACAATGGGCTTGGCTAGATATCGGTGCTATTCATTATTGTTTTATTTATGTTGATTTGTTCATTATTCATTCAAAAAATCTATGTGCTTTCTATTAATTTTTACCTTTTAAAGAAAATATTTAAGCCAAAATATATATATGCATGCTTTTGCAAATGAGCATACATGCATATCAAATCAAACATGAGTTGGCTTGATTTGATTCGAATTTGATTTAATTTGAATTTCATTCAAATCTTGCCAAGCTCATTAGTCAAACTCTTTAGTTTTAAACTGAGCTAGATTTAGATCTATTTGTTATTCAAGTGGTCTTCAACTTTAAGGTTAAAGCCATAGTTTTAATCACGGGTAATTATGGCTTATGTGTGTTCATGTTATGACAATTTAGTTTCTTTGCCTAGTCTATGTTTATAACTGGAATGTGACATTTAGCATGCTGATCGCTTGTCCTAAATTGCGTACTTGATTATTCTTCTAGAAATATTTGCTTCAAAATCAATACTTCTTTTCTTCACAAATTTTCATAAATTAAAATTATCATGACATATTTTGAATTCTTATTCATTCGTGCTTTCTTTTTTTTTTTTTCTTTTTTTGTCATTGCACATTTTTTTCTTATTTTATGCAAGGTTTTAAAAATTGGATCGGTCTGACTGGTCCAACCATGAACCAGTCACAAGACTGGCCTGTTTTACTCTAAAAATCGCTTATGTACCAAAACAAATTGAATTGGCAAGAGCCACCGGTTCAATCAACGAACTGGCCTATTCAATTATCACAATTTTTAAATAATTAAATAAATAAATTCTTATATTAAAGTTAAAGATTAAATATTAAATAATTTTCTAAAATAACAAAATATATTTAAAATATTAAATTTCAAAATAGCATGAAATTTTTATTATATTATTTGCCTCAAACTACCATGAAGCATCTTCATATGGCCCAACCACTCCATGTGTACTCTTAGCACATAAACTTAATAAAAATTTCATGCTATTTTGAAATTTAATATTTTAAATATATTTTGTTATTTTAGAAAATTATTTAATATTTAATCTTTAACTTTAATATAAGAATTTATTTATTTAATTATTTAAAAATTGTGATAATTGAATAGGCCAGTTCGTTGATTGAACCGGTGGCTCTTGCCAATTCAATTTGTAACTATTCGTTTAAAAATAAAATAACTGCCCGCTCATTTCTTTAAAATGTCTGGCAAGAGTAATCAGGGGAAGAGACACATATGCTCCTTTCATCGCACTAGCTTCTCGATTCGTCTAAAGCACATGACAGGATCGAGTAACCCCACCAAACCCTTCACCTTTTTCATCACTTCAACCAAATCCCTTCGACTCCTTCGTTGTTGTTCGGCTCCATCACAGGAGGTACAGAAATTACACGAGTGACTCCTTCGACTCCTTTGTTATTGTTCGACTGTGCTTCTTCTCTGTCGAGCCCAAGTGCCCGATTCCGACCCAACGACCCCCTTCGCTCCTTCTCTTTATTACATCATATATTATATATGATATATAATATTATATTAAAAAATACTATATTGTTGCATATCTAAAAAAAAAAAGAAGAAGAAAGAAATTAAAAAAAAGAGTGAAGAAAGATTCTTTCAAACAGGTGTCGAAGACCCGTGCCATCAGTCTTAGATTTGTGCTTATGGTTTAAAAATTTGAAGACCCTGAGCCGTTGTACCTTAGCTCGAGGAGGGATGGTTTAAAATTCGAAGACCTGTGCCGTGATCTTAGATCCGGGCAGATGGTTTTAAATTCGAAGCCCCCGCGCCATTGATCTTAGATCTGGGATGGATGAAAAAAAATTGAAGACCCCACGCAGTCGATCTTAGATCCTGGTTGGATGGTTTAAAATCGAAGACCCTTTGCCATCGACCTTAGGTCCGGATAGGAAGAAATTATGGCAGTGCTGTTCCGATTTCTTCCTTGGTGGGGAGGAGATGTCGGGAGACTGCCAAAATTTCTTGAAAAAATTATATAAATTTTTGGAGCAATTAGAGAGCAATTTAATTTTGATCTTAATTAATTAATTCATTAATTCTAATAATTAATTGATTAAGGTTAATTATGTAAATCTATGAGCTATTTAAAATACGTGAGCTTTTATAAATTCAAAATTTTTTTTAATTAATTTAAATACAAAAGTAATTTAAAATCTTAGTTAAAAGTCGAGAGCATTTTAAATCATAAAACTTCAAATACGAAAATCTTAGAGTTTTAAATATAAGAGCATTTTAAAACCTTAAGTATGAGAATTTTCAAAAAATTCAAAAGTTTTAAAATTAAGATCAATACAATTAGCTAAAACTTTTTATTTTTGGTTAGTTGATTAATTAAATTAATTTTGAAGGAAAATGTATAAAAGAAAATATTGTTTGCACTAATCATATATGTACATTCAATTCTAAACATAGCTCTAAAATTCTCCAAAACAATGTTCAATAAAATGCTGCTCTTCAAATCCTCAACAACTCTCCAATGCAACTCTACAAACTCCCTAGTACTCTTGGACAAAGCTGCAAAGTAGCACAAGCCCCTACAATAGATAAAATTAAATTCATTAAACATCAGAATTAAATAAATATCAAATTAAATGCTAAAAAAATAGACTACTTATAAAAACTACTAGTACACTAATGCAGAAAAGTAATCTACTAAAATGAAAAAAGGAATTGTAATAAAGAACACAAGGGTTATAACGACAAATGATTAAACTAGTAAGCACAAATGCTAGTAAATAACCAACTAAAATCCACGGTAGTCAGGTGTCAAGAAACTACTGTCTACTCAAATGATCAAATGCAAATATTTTTAGGCAGCCTTGCTTATAAGAACTTGGTTGTAAGACCTACTATCCGATAACTTTCAAATGAAAGCAGTAAGCCCGACCTTAGGAGAAAGTTTTAGGTAAAATTGACCTAACTCTAAACCCCCAATTAAAACATTATCCACTTATAATAGAAGCCATAAGTCTGTCCTCTAAGAAAAATATTTAGGTGATAACACAACCCTAGACCCCTCACTCGAGCATTCTAGTCTATAGGACTAAGTTGTAAGACCCATCACTCAAGCTACTTAGCTTAGAGGGCTAGGTCGTAAGACCCAATGTTAGACAACTTCTAAGGAAGCCTTAAGACCTACCCAATTAAAACCTTTAGGCTACCCTTAGTAGAGGCCATAAGTCCCTACCCAAATCTAATAAATAGATATCTCTTATTAAAAAATTAAGTCAAAAGCTTCAAGAGAGAATTTCAGCTTTAAATAATACTTTGAAATACAGTAATTATGTTTCATATCTTGAAAGCATGTGGAATTTTTATTGTAGGATTTCCTACCCAAGTAATTAAAGCCTACGGGCATTATAGTCGACAGGGTTAGCTTGTAAGACCCACTAGCAGGCTACTTCTAAGTGAAGTTGTAAGTCTCACACTTTAGGAAAATTGTTAAATAATTAAAAATGATCATAAATTTTAAACAATCGAATTTAAACCGATGGGCATTTTAGTCTAAGAGATTAAGCTGTAAGACCTGCTTTTCAGGATACTTCCTAGAGGAAGTCATAAGTCCTACACAAATAATTAAGTTTCTCAGGAAGCCTCGTTGTAGAGTTAGGTTATAAGACCCATCCTTGGGCAAGTCATAAATAGAGCAATAAGCC